CCGGTTCTAGTAATCGTTCGGGATTGTACGCTGGCATGTCGTTAGTTTAACCTTTCCTCTGGTTGGTTGCCGAGTTTCATTGATTTTCGTCCAGGAGTTTTCCCGTAACTAAACTTAGAAGAGAGTCACTTCTGATTCCGAGCGGCCCAAAAAATACCCCTCGCGCGGAGGCCAATTTCCGGCACAAGGCGCAGCGGGCGATTGGCATTGCTACACACAGTGGCTGAGATTTTTCCTTCCAGCTTGGAGACTCTTGAAGGAGAGTGGGCCTTGTCGAGAGGGTACTGACTGAACTCCTGTAGCCTGTTCTCCGCAATACTCAGAATAATATAGTGTCCACTATAACCTCTAGAAGCTAAGCTGGTGTTGTGAAGAGATAAACAAGAGAGGAAGGGGATATAATAACACACATTAAAATTATAAGTTGTTCTCATTTTTCACGCTGTTTTTTTTAAATCGTAAACAAAAATTTTGTCATTCATATCATGGCAGTGCAGGTTGCTGTTGGTGAAAAAGGTTACTGTTAAGGGAGTCATAATGATGAATTATACAGGAAAATTTCGTTGTTATAACAAGCTGAGGTTGTTGTGAGACAGGTGGGACCCTTTATCCAGGTTACTGTTAAGTGAACACCTCTGTGTTATTTTAGTATCACTCGCGTCTCATGCTCAGATTGATTTTTTGAACGTTTTTTGTTCATCTTTATTGGTTTTTCATAATGAATTTCGACTTTACATACTTCAAAAGTTTATTAGTTTTTCAACTCTATGGCAACAGGCCTATTATAACATATCATGTGTGGCATCGTGGTTGAATAAGGCGCTCGTTAGAATAATTATATCGAAGAGACCGCCTGTTTTTTCTCATGAGAGCACTACTGGAATAAATAAGACGAAAGAAAGAGGGTCAAAGTTATTCATACTTACTGTAAAAATTCCTTGAATTTGTCAAGAGACAAAGAATTTCATGTGCTTAGCAATTTCAATCGCCCGCTGCGCCTTGGGCCGGAAATCGGCCTCCGCGCGAGGGGTAATTTTTGGGCTCGGAATCAGAAGTGACTCTCTTCTAAGTATGGTTACGGGAAAACTCCTGGACGAAAATGAATGGAACTCGGCAACCAACCAGAGGAAAAGTTAAACTAACGACATGCCAGCGTACAATCCCGAACGATTACTAGAACCGGAGATATTGCCGTGTTTGTGTGAATTTTCCTCTGCGGTTCGAAAACTAAGCGGAGCTGCGGGTTGATCGCTGACCACACAAGCGCCCCACATGTCTTCTTTATTGCTGTAAAATTTCAGATCTCAGCGTTTAGTAGATTTTCTAGGCGGCATGTGATTGGCTGCCTATAACCAAATAGGTCACCGATGACTACATCGCGGGTTTTCCGGATAGCGCTTTACTGAGTTTTAGAAGGGGTGATCGCGTCGCGGTAAAAATGATGTCACGCAATTCAACAAATATCACGCAAATATCAGTCTTTAAGATCCAAAGTAAAAAAGACATCGAAAAAGTGATAGCAGAACTAGATTCGGCACTAAAAATTACATGGAGATACCAAGTTTCATTCATATGCTCCAATTCATTACTGACTTATGAACAGTTTTTCCTCAAAATACATCAAGACATGTCCCACATCTTGGTGATTTTTTTCCTATATGAAGGTCCTCCAGCATTTTGCAAACAAAAATACCAATAACTTTTTTATTTATCAATGTATTTTTAAAATTTAAAAACCATAGTTCTTAGAATTTACTTTATTTTCATTTAAGCCCATTTTTAAGCAATTTGGACAAAAATTTAATTTTTCATTGTCATTGCTAATGTGCTTTTGAAGTCGGTTGTGAGTTTTTGTAAAGGCAATTCAAATTTTGTTCTCAGTCAACATGTTACGATAGCTTCATCCAATGATCATCCTCGTGTAAATTAAACTTCCGCATGAAACGTTATACAATTTTACTATTTCTTTGAAGAGATTCTCATTTTACAACAACAGCAACCACTTTCCCAGCCAAGCACATAATCAAAAGCCATTCTTTTTTTTCTCACATGTTTAAAAAAAAATCTATATATCCTATTGGCTCTGAAAAATATTCTATGTTATCTTTTAAAACTTTTATCAAGACAAAAGTAATCAATTTTTAAAATGTCTGCAAAAATTTGCAGATCTACCCTCAGTATTTCCTGGGCCTGAGGAATAAATGACTCCGGTATCACCGGGGCCTCACACTACTTAGAGGGAAATGAGGGCCAAAAATAACACAGTACTTTAATAGATTAACTTGCAAAATTAAATAGATATATTTCAAACAACCTGCTAGTTGAATGGTAGGATTTTTTGGTCATTTATTTCAAGCCTTATAATCTGGCACAATTAAATAAATTAAAAGGTTTATTTGTAAAATTTTCAAAAACTTACTGATTCACATGATGCCACAGAAAAGACAAACACTTTCTTACCTTTGATAGCACTGTGAAAAGCTCACTGTTGATTTTCTGTAGTGCTAACATTGTCAGGGGAAATTTCTAACCTCTGTTATTTATGAAAAGGAGTAAAAATATAAATAGGCCTACATCATGAAATTCAATGGCCAGTTTTTCCGGTTCACTCTCAGCATCTCAAGCCTTGTTTAACAGGTTCGAAGTCACATTTTTTATGTGCATTGTTTCCTGTCATTTATGATAAACATTGTGTGCATTTTGATATATTTTGCCATCCTGTGATGTTTCGTTTCATGCTTCCAGGCTTGTTGACATTGACACACACTCTTTTTATCTTCTTCAGGGGGCCAATGCTTCCCAGCTGGAGAAGGAAATTGGCTCGGAGCAGTTCCCAACCAATGAACATTACTTTGGATTGGTCAATGTAAGAAGAAAATGATGTATTTGTTATTATTTATTGTCTCTTTTAGCTTTGACTTGACTTGCCCTGTGCTCTAACTTCCCTGTCTAAATGTGTGTGGCTTGGGAATTGAAATTGAATTCATCGTAAATCTGTATCAGATGCACCAAGGCATTCATTCATTGCCTGTTGTGGTCATACCAAAATTGAATACACAGAGCTTGCCAGGTGAAAACAGATCTTTTATGTCATCATGTGTCCCAATGGGCATCAAGAGGATAAGAGAATCCTTGGGCTCCTCTTCCTCCTCCTCTTTCTTTTCTTCTATCTTCTTGCCTTTTCTTCTTCTTCTTGTCTCTTCTTCTTCTTCTTGCCTCTTCTTCTTCTCCTCCTCCTCCTCCTCTTTTTCAAAATTCTTCTTCTTCTTCTTGCCTCTTCTTCTTCTCCTCCTCCTCCTCCTCCTCCTCCTTCTTCTTTTCAGTCACATCACACTTGGAGTCAATTATTTATCATATACTGGGCCATCTGCTCAGTTCATCTTTTGGCTTGTATAGCTTCTCTTGTAGTGTTTTTATGGGGTTGGCGACGTTCTCTGTCTCAGGGCTCTGTGTGTCCTGCGCTGCTGGAGGATGTGTGTGTGTGTGTGTGTGTGTATACAGTGTTTGTGTGTGCGTGTGTGTGTGTGATTTCCCTGTCTCAGGGCTCTGTGTGTCCTGCACTGCTGAAGGATGTGTTCTGCAGTTTGGCCCACTTCCCCACACTGTCATTTTGGTGGTTGTAGTAGTTTATAAAACAACTGTACATGTGTTATTTGAGTCTTGTGCGTTGTGTTCTGAGTAGCTTGTGGGTGGTTGGCGGGTGTTCTGGTGTGGTTTTCTCCTTCTTTCCTAGAAAAAATCTATCGTCCTGATCTCTGCTCCTTTTTATTTGTGTTTGTTACTCTCTTGTAACATCTCTAATCTTCTGCACTTATACGACCTTATTGTGTTACGAGTGCTGTAAAACTTTTACTAAAACTAAAACTGAGTAGGTTCTTCGTATTCTTACGTTAGTTCTGTGTATATTCCTCGACAGTTTGGCAACACGTGTTACTGCAACTCGGTGCTGCAGGCGCTCTACTTCTGCCGGCCGTTTCGAGAGAAAGTGCTGCAGTACAAGCAGCAGGTCAAGAACCAGAAGAAGGAGACGCTTCTCACCTGTCTGGCCGACCTGTTTTACAGCGTTGCCACGCAGAAGAAGAAAGTGGGAACCCTTGCGCCGAAAAAGTTTATCACGAGGTTACGAAAAGAAAATGGTACGTGGTGCTGTTTCATTCACTTCTCGACTGCTAAGTTTGCTGTAGAACCTTGATGAGCGGATTAGGATAGTGTTGACTGGGGCACTGTTTATTGTTTTACTGTGGATGTGGTTTCATGTATTTTTTTCCCTCCTCTTGTTGATTATAAAAAGGTTTGGGAAGGTTGGACTTTCAAGATCT